TACTTCCACAGTACTCACTTTACCTTTTTTCTACCTTTTCTACCTTTATTTTTTGAAGCACTCTTTCTTTCCCCACCCCCCTCTGTGAAGCTTGAAGTCGACTAAAGGACTGATGATAACCATCAAAACGCCTGCCATTTGATATAAATAAATATTTTAGGATAAAAATCGATTGTTACGAAAAAATGATTCCCAACTTCTTGCATTTCGATTTGAATATAATTATAGTGATACGATGATAACAAGAAGACTTTTAAATCAAGTTCTACGCTATTTGTGTCAAGTATTAGATAATGCATTTCGTGATACAAAGATGGTGTAATTGATTAATATGACTCAACCAAAGAAAATCCTGATCATTGAACCACAAAGTAATATGCTCCAACTATTAAAAGCAATTTAATGAATTGCATTGTGACTTGGATTTCACAAAGCGGAATATAAAAACTGCCCACTTAAGGATTTCGTTCATCCACTAAGAGTAAAGGCTTTTGATAATATCAAAAAGTTTTCATCAGAATTCTGTTACTGCAATGGTTTATCTAAGTTAACTGGAACTGTTAATCTCATCAACAACAAAATGTATCTGTCAAGCTTACATCTGGTCAAGGAAATCATTGGAATCAGTATGGACAGGATGATATCAAGAAATTCCTAGATGAAATAATAAAAATTGAGTTTTGAATATTATGATATTACAAAGTGGATAATCAAATCCTTAGAAAATTCAAATATATTCGGACCCCTGGAAGTTCGATGGTATTTGAATCATTCTTTTAATGGAATATTACATATTTCGTGTTTTCAATGACTATCGATTACTAAAATATTTGAAATCTTTATACATTCTCGGCTTTCTAATAGGGAAAATCAAATTTTAAAGTGACAAGTTGTTTTATCTTTTACTTTGCATTTGAGAGCAATTTTAAAATATATGTCACTTTTTCCCTGTAAAATAACAGTTAGTATAGTACGATACTACAAAAAGATGAAAATTAAGCAGCAGTAGAATTCTTCCAGTGTTCTTGGCTAATGAAAGGTAATTAAAATATTACTATTAAGGTAATGCTAATCACCAACGCATTGGAAGATCATTCAATCATGACCTTTTGGGGCAGAAGTTCATTAACTCCTTCAATTGGTAATCTCCAAAATGTATTTATGACTTAAAAGGTCAACTCTTCTGTTTGACACATTCGCCTTAAGCTAATGTAAAATGTGGGTTAGTTACGGCAACTCAAATTGGGATTTTATTGCCCTCCTGGGGAAATTAATGGGTAGCCATCAGGAGGAAATTTTATTTTACACACGGACTTGGACTTGGTCATTATTTGTTGCTATTTAAAGTATGACCAACAAAAGTGGACTTCATATTTGAGATCGAAGTAAATTATGCTTGCCAGAGGTCAAAATACTCAAACTGTGGACCTTTTTAAACTAATTTTTACCTATTCATAGAATAAATGCACTATTTTGTGATTTCTACTGAAATCAAAATTGAGATTTTATTCTGATATTTTGGTGTGTTTTTTTAAATTTTCTCTTCAAATCCATTGCATACGTTTCGCATTGAGTATATTGTATTTTCCTCAAAGCGACGAATTGATCTATTTTTTTAATTTAGACTGGGATACATTTTTTGAAATAGAAACGTACTAACTAATTTTCGAGAGAGAGAGAGAGAGGAAGGGAGAGAGAATAAGTTTCCAGTTTCCATGGCATTTTCATTATTGCCATTACTCACGTCACGAAAAATGACAGGAAACAACTGAGAGACACAGAGGACAATAAAACAGGAGTTACAGAAAGAGAGTGGATCAGTAACGAAATTCAAAATAATAAAATAACTCGCTAAAGTTTGGTATAAGAGACTATCAACCGACTTATGTTCTAGAGCTCGTATCTGAACGTTCGCCACCAGTTTTTTGATAAGCTTATCATTGCTAATTTATTAAACAGATTATCGTAAAGGTCTATGTAGACGAAATATTGCATACAGGTTAATACAGTTTGTGGGTCAAGGTTCCACATCAATTTTTTAGCGTTTTGTTACAGCCCCATGTGTTAGAGGTTTATGAAACTATTAATTTTAACACATATCTAGGATTAATTTGGACATAAACGATCAAGGTGTGGTGGGGGGGGAGGGGGGAGGGGGGAAGGCAGAGATGGGAGGAGTATATATTGAGGCGGTGGCACCAACACCTAGATAGGGGAATTGGACTGGTAAAAAGACAAAGTGGAAGAAAAATGCGGTCCATATGTCACAATCTGAACCAAATGTATGCTTGAACTTTTAGCTTGGAAATGAATGTTTCACAGTTCTGCCTCAATCTCCAAAAGAAAGAATTTGGCCCATGTCGCAGTAGGCTGGTTGGTAGGTTTCATCCAGTTCATAAACACATTTTTTTTTGTAAAAATAATTTTGGTTATTTAATCAAGTTGTCTATTGAAAGTTCGAAAATCTTTTCTAATCTCACTTCACAGATAAAAGTCAAATATATTGTGGGGGAATAACCCGCAACAACTGTAAATCAGCCCATCAATATACTCTGAACTTTGTAGAGACACTCACTTATTAATTTGGGAGTCAAGTAATAAAAAGGCAAACCTCATGAAGATGTACAGTAAACCGGTTGAATTTCCAACATCTTCTGACCCTCTTCTCCTCCCCATCCTCCATTCGACTCTCTTTTAGGCTTACAAAAGCATGTCCTAATAATTTTGAGCCTTGGGATATTTGAATATCACAAGGGAAATTATAGTTCTACTGAAAAACGTGAACAATTGAATGCTTCAAATCCCTTATAAAGTAATGTTTCTGTCTTCATTATATGCTTCAATTGTATCTGCTATGCTCTCCCTTATTCGAATGGTTAAAATCCGCAAATTTGTTCCATGCTTCCGTGGGTAATCACAAATCAAGGAAGGATCATTACTAAACTTTATTTCCTTTCTCCCAAACTATAAATTCAAAATTTGCAATCATTAGATAGAAAATTGTCAAATTTGGCGTTCATAGAGAAGAAAACAAATGCTGAAATCAATCGTAAATAATTTTCAATGCCAATAAAAATTTTAAACTTTGAGTTTCTTACTGTGTTTAGCTTGAGAACCGTTTTTAAAAATCAAAGGATGGTATATAGCGCAGATGTGTTAGTAGGTGGTTCTCAATCTTTCCGGACCAACTGAAAGCATACACCACCGCATTCAGTGTATCTAATCAATAATAAAACATTTAAAGAACTTGGTTATTGGCTAGATTATTCCACATAGTCATCCAATGGAACTTATTACGCTACCTCCGCATTTTTAATCTCCACTACTCTTAGTCCATAGTTCTTTCTACTTATGCGACCTATAGTCTAGAAACCCTTTACAACAGAATGTGTCATAGTAAAAGTCTACTCCAACTAAGCCTTATAGAATTAAAAAAGGTCATTGCTGTCCGTCAAGAGCTCAGAGTATAATGAGATTAAGATACATAAAAACATTGAAATGTGGAAGAAACATACGCCCTATTTAATTGACTATATATTTGAGTATGCCCTTGTAATTTGACTATATTAACCCTCCCATGGCTCTTTCGTGCCTCATTCTCTACGTTGCTTTATCGATTATTGATTTCTTGTAAGTAGACTTATTTAAAAGTCCTCTAAGGTTTTTCTCCTACAACGTTAAAGTTTCGTCACAATAAGTTGCCAATATTTCAACAAAATAAAACTGACTTAGCTTGCACTTGAAAAAAATTCCATTAATGTCGTTCGAAGGTTGAAATATTCAGCTTAAATTTAAATAAAAGCGGTGCATGGGGCCTAAAATAACTTTACCCAGTTACGTGCCCAATAGTCTTAAATAGAAGTTAAGATGATAATAGTAAGTTAAAGTCGATTAATTTTATTGGAGAATGATAAATAGCTGCAAAAAAGTTACTTCAACATTGTATCATGTCGAAAAAAACTGGTTTTCCTTCTGCTACCTGTCCTGCCCTAGCGCACAATTTCGTTAAATACGTTATAAGAGAATGATTTATTTGGAAAAAGTAGTGTTATAAATGCCTTTTAAAAGGCGAGTCAATTACGAAAATCTTGAAAACGAACGTAACAAATTTGGTCTGTGGAAAATAGAGAGAAACAAAACATTAGCTTGATAACTTACTAATCTTCTGTCAACTTAAATTAACCACACAAAGCCGAAAGCCAACAGCAGAGAGTTGGCAAGTTCACCACTCAAGTAATGAAAAATATTCCATAATCAATCGTTTCCACTACCTACGTATCTGCGACAACTCATCCGTGTGTTCTCGAACATATGGTCCAACTCAATCCTTATCCTTAATATAAATCTAATTCACATATTTGCAAATAATACCCGATCGGCAGAAATCATCGTTTGAAGCTCCAACGTGTGAAGTGGTATCGTCAAATAATTATTTAGACTTGATCAATATTACTGTGAAATTTTGAGCTACATGCTCAATGCTTATTGCTTCGTCAAACTCAAGAAAGGAACTTTTCATAAAAGACCCTATTCAATGGGTAAAAACCTTGGCTTTAAGATTAATATTCCACTATTGAATTTCTCTTTCTCTTCCTTGAATCTCCCATTCTAGTCGTATCAATTATTAGATCCAAGCTTCAACTGAACTCTAATTATGCGAATATCCACCAGAAATTCAAGAAAAGAAGTGATTTACCTTATCTTGCAATTTTTTTCAGCCACAAAAAAATCCTTCTCCTAAGTATATCTTATTTATTCACCACATTACTTCTTAACTATACTTGTTTGATTTACTCTACAATTGCTTTCTTTAATTTTCTAGCTTCCATTTTATGTTTTAACTTAAAATGATCGCTTTTGTGAATGAGAGTGCTTTGGTACTGCCACTGAAATAGTAAAAGTTGTTTGCTAAAAAGCTGAAGTGATATAAATATGAAAAGCAGGAATACCATTCGATTGAATATTTCATGAACCAACAACAACCCAACCAACTGCCGTAGCTAAATGCGTGACTATGGGATATAAAATGTAAACCATCAAAAAAGTGTGTGCGGCAAATTGTGTGAATTACCCTTGCGTTATACATATCCTCCATCTCGCCTTTAATTTTCTCCAGTTGGTCGTCATATCGATCTTGTATGTCATGCACAGCGTGGCTCAACTCGTTCTGCCACATTTCCTGATCGAAACCACGTCCAACCTCTTCTAAGGTTCGATGCATTTCTCTTATCTCCTCTTGATGCGCCCGCCGCATAAAGTCGATCTCCTCACGAAGCGTTTGCATTTCGGATTGGCCTGATATGCGGTTAGCCGTTTCCTCATCCAGGTGCTAGAATTGAGGAAAAATAAGATTATTTCATCAGAATAATAAAAATAACTGGTACTTAAAATATTTATTTATATCAAATGGCAGGCGTTTTGATAGTTATCATTAGCCCTGGAGCTGACTTCGGGGCTTCACGAAGAGCAGAAGGAACATCAAAGTGATAATAAGTCGAGATGGGAGACAGAACAATGATTCACAGAGGTAAAGGGGACAGACAGACAGAAAGGCATAAAAAAGGTAAGATGAGTACTGTGAAAGGGGTTGAATATGGCAAATAGTTGAGCCATAGAAGTTTGAAGTCAGAAGTCAACTGCCAGTTAATAGAATTTTTGCCGTATAATTATACTTTGCACAGGGTGCACCACGTGAAGGTAAGTCTATTGCGCACCCCG